AGATTCAGGACAAAAACATACATTGTGTTAAAAGCCCTGGTACCATCTTTGACATTACATGGCTGTGACTTAAGGATTAGATTAGCAGCTGGTTATGGGACCCTTGCACAGTTTCTCCCTGACATGCATAGTATTAGATCCTGAGAACTTAGTGTTAAGATGTAATTTGATTCAAGAGTGCTAAGGTTGCTATCTTCTCCATAGGTAAGCAGATTCATGAAAAACAAGGATCGGTAAGTGAGAGAGATTCATGCTGTACTGATCCCCGTAGGCTTCTTTGGGTTCCAAAAGATGCTGATTCTGTCCCAATAACTACATTCTTCTCTTAAGGAATTTAAGAAACTTGAGAAACTCTTTAGATAGAGTGGAACTTCAAAATAAGTTCAGACGCGAGGTTCTACCTGATTTTAGACGAGGAAGTAATTTCTCCTGTAGTTCACTGAATCCCATTCCACATCCTTCACTCTAGAGGAAAAGGAGGCAGAATGATCGTTAAGTCATTCTTTGTTATTAAAATAGACATTCAGAGGAGAATCCATCTTCTCTTCTAGGCTCTGCTGTCCTAGAAGTACTTTGGTGTCCTCAGAGATTCTGTGTGGAAAAGTAGTTTGTGCATTTTTTTTAAACAGCCACAAGAAAGGTATGGATGATATTGAAGAGTGGAGTGGGCCAGGGTTTTGCTTCTGAGAACAGTGATGCCTGAGTATCAAATTATTGTTATCCATCATCCATACATCATTATCCATTACCCATCTATCTCTTCATCCATCTACTCACCCTCCCACCAACTATATCTTAGCTCTTATGTGGGTGCTGAAGTTGAGCACATATTGGGGGAACCCAAAGGCTTTGCATTTAGAGTGGATTCAGTTTTAAATCACTGGGTATAACTTTTCTAAATCCCTTGGCTTTTTTTTTTAAATCATTGTTTTGAAAATTACATGAGAAAATGTTTCCTTTCCATCCTTTCCATTCACCTTATTCCACAAAATACTTTTTTGAGCTCCCAACAATATCTCAGACACGTTGCTAGTCAGTGGGAACACAAAGAAGAATGCAAAATCTAATGCTTCTTTTCACGGCTTTTATAGCAGAAACTCATTTTTAATTGGGAGTATTATGTAAATATATAGAAGATGATTAGGGCGTAATTATACTGATACAATTCAGCTCAGTTTTGTGGCAGTACTGGTATGAGCCCTTAAATCAAAGATTTAATGTGAAACACTGGGTCTTTTTCTTGCACACCTGACACCCTGTGCTTCTCCAGCAGGCCGCAGTGAGTGACCAGAGGGATGGTAGATACATCTGATTGTAGTTTTGACAGATCATGGGTACCAGGCTGAACTTGAGAACCAGAATTGGGGCAGCTTTGTGAATTGGTGTCCAAGTTCTCTCTCTGATCTCCTCTTCACCTTTGCTCCCAAGACCTTTGCTTATGGGTACACACCAACCCTATGATGTCACCAAAACAGAATTACTATTATGTCAGTCTCCTTACTGAGTCCTTGTGTTTTATGAACTCTTGTTGCTTTTTATAGTCAAATCCAAATTCTGTACCCTGGTTTAAAAGTGCTACAGACTCCGACCACCTCCTTGCTTTTTCTTATTTCTTGCCACCTCTCATCTCTTTCACTCAGTGCTTTTGCCATATTAAGTCACCTCTAGTTTGTCTAACATGGCGTGCTCTCTCTTATCTCTGGCTTTTCGCCCATACCATTACCTGTGCCTGGCACGCACCTCCTCACCCGTTGAGATCTGAATGTTTAATGATTACTTGTTTAGGAATGGTTTTTCTGTCCCACCACACTCCACTTCCTAAGTGAAGCTTCCATTTGCTCTATACCTTTACAGCGTGCATTTAGATGCTGGAAATTTACTATAAAGCTTATGCTCTTGAGATGGCCCCTTGCTGATGGTGCATCCCATGGAGGAGCTCCCTGAACATCTCTGCATCTCCGTTGTTTTGTTGGTGAAATGGAGAAACGATTTCTAGTTGACTGTGAGAATAACATTACCTTTATACATGTACAGTATTTATCAGATAATAAGTAGTCAATACAAGTAACATAACAACAACATGAGATGTATTTCCCCTTACATTTTCTGTCACCTTGTGTTGAGCTCCCACTACTAACCTAAGGGTCGTTGAGGGCAGAGACCACGTCTGGGTAATTTATAAACATGACCTGCACATGTTTAACAAATGAATAGATGAGGCCATTTTTTACCATAGTCAAGTCAACACATCTTTTTCCTGCCACCCCCAGGAGAATTGGCCTGTGGCTCTTATCCTGTTCTGATTAGCCAAAGTAGCCCTCGGGAGAGGCGATCCTCACAGTTCCAGATGATGCACAGTGTGTGAAAACTTGGTGCACTTGGGATATCTCTGGTACTGTGATCTCACAGAGAGGATCCTGGGGTGGGATATATTCACAGGAGCAGTGCTGCTGCGCTAAGGTGAGCAGGTTCTGACAGACCTATGTGAAGACCAACAGAGAAAACAGCAGCTTGTCACTGTGTACCCCGAGTCCTTCTGAGGTCCAGAGCTGGAGTCTTACGAGCATTTGCTGCCTGTGAATTGCTATTCTTACATGACCACAAATCCTTTATTTGTAATGCCAAGGCAGTTACTTGGATAATCATGTGCAAGAGTGTGTATGATAGAAATAAGAGCATAGAAACAAAATTTTCTGTGTTTCAAGATTACCATTAGCCCAGGGATCGAGACTTTGCTGATATTTGGTAAAAAGGAATTTCCAGAAGAAAGAGAAAATTACCACACAGTGTTTATTATGGTCCCCTTCATTTTTTCCACTTTTTTCAGGATGGAGATTTGGGATCTTGCTTTCACTTAGGTTGGCACTGGGCTTATCACAATGTTTTCCCACAGTTGTAGTGTTTGAACACAATATGAAGTAAAAATATTTTTAGTTATTGTATACTTAATATGGCCACTTCAATTCTTCTCTGTTTTTCAAACAGATAATAGATTATCTCAGATTCTAAAATCAATTCTACAGAGTACGTGTCTTATTCTCATATCATAGCCAAAGTAACTAGCGCTCATATGAATGTGTTAATTTCTCCATTTCATACAGAGACCTGAATCTTAGCTCTTTGTTTTACTCTCTCAAAAACCTATGCTTTTCCCTTTTTCTCCCTCAGTTATTTTTAAACATAAGCGATCTTAAAACCTATGTTAAGATTACAATACAATTTTGTCATCAGAGGCTACAGATAAATGTACAAAAATGTGGCACAAATAAGTTCAAATATAAATATGATAACATCATTTTGAATGGCTTAATTTTTAATAGCAAAATGTTATGAACGAGAGGGACACATACCAATACCTTTTGTGCCTCAGGAATGCCTTGTATGTGAATGGAAACCTCCATGAAGGATATATTATTCAAATTTTATTTTTTTAATAAAAATGTTAATGGAAATGTTAAAATGCACATAAATTAAAGTGATCATAAATTAGGATTAATATCACATTAATGAATTATAATCCCACATTCATCAAGATAAAGTGGCATTTCAATATTTGCTCATGTTAATCAATTTAATACAATAAATGAAAGGGATACATTTTGAGATTCAGTAAATATTGGATGTAATCTTATGCTTTAACTTTTTAAAATATTCAAAAATAAAATAGGAGATCTAGATGCACTTGGATTCTTTGTTGTTTTTTTGTCTTTTTTATAATCTTTTCATTTATTGAAGCACTAAATACAATTTAAATTGGTGAAGAAAGCAATAGTGTCTGTTCTGAATAAAAGTGATCCCAAGAGGACTCAATGTCTTTTGAGTTTCTAGTTTCTTTTTACCAGATAATTTTTTTTAAAGAAAAATGTATTTGAAATTTTAAGGTTCAATAACTGGAGCTATATTGACATTTACGTAACTGAGGTAAATTAAAAATATATTCACATAAATACTATTTTACAGCTAATTCTATGAATTTTTCTTTTAAAAAATGGAAACTAAAAATATATATTCCTGATTTATCTTAGTTTTTTAACAGTAGTCAACATAGCATAAGGAAGATGGACCATGTGTCAGAGCATCCCTGTCTCCCTCTTAAGAGTAAGCTGAGAATTTTAAAGCCAGGGGTTCTGTTTTCTCTACCAACTATTTCAGGCAGTACCTGCCAAAATGTTTCAGGCAGAGTAGGTGTTTAACAAATTTTTGTTGCCATGACCTGAGATGGATCTGGAATTCTTCTACCAAGTTTTTATTTTTCAAAGGTGTCCTATTTCTGGAAAACATGCTCCCGAAATTCTGGTCTCAGTGTTTTTCTTTATAAAATGGGAATAATTTTCCTGGACCAGAGGATTGTACAAATCAAAGAGAAAAGTCCTTAGACAAACATATAATGTTAATATGCATCAGATCATTAGACTTATTTTTTTATTAATATAGCAGGCAGATTTTAGTTGAATTCTGAGTCTTGATTGACCCATGTGATTCCATCAAATGTGAACATTGGAGAGGTTATTATGTGACTTATCACACTTCACTTACCTCACTTTTCATATGCAATATTCTCTCTCATTGACTTTTGGGAAAATTAAGGGAATTACCATATGAGAAGCAATTCTCATAGTTCTTGGCACACACGACAGCGACCCACAAAAGGTGGCTAACAATAAAAACTTTAAATAAATGTACCAATAAGCTGAAAAGAATACATGGATTTTTGCATTTTCTCCTTTATATTTTTTATCATCCTAAAATTCATGTCTGTTTATACTAAACAGGTCAGAGTATTATCTAAAATGGTTCTAACTAATTTGTGTGAATCTCATTATATTTTATTTTGAGTGCTATGTACACAATGGCATAGACCTTTTGTACTGTTGTTGGTCGTGGAAATTGATGAAGTCATAATTAATGTAAAAGGACTGCCTGGCTCTTCCAACAAGGGGTAGTTAAAAAATAACTTTGTGAGTTTTCCCATCACTAACCAATGTCACTTTTCATTTTAGCTGCACACAGACCTGGACCCTGGAAGCAAAAAAATCAAGTATATCTTATCAGGAGATGGAGCTGGGACAATCTTTCAAATAAATGATATAACAGGGGATATCCATGCTATAAAAAGACTTGACCGAGAGGAGAAGGCTGAGTACACCCTCACAGCTCAGGCGGTGGACTGGGAGACAAACAAGCCTCTTGAACCTCCATCTGAGTTTATTATTAAAGTTCAAGACATCAATGACAATGCACCAGAGTTTCTTAATGGACCCTATCATGCTACCGTGCCAGAGATGTCCATTTTGGGTATGTATGCTTCTAATTTCATAGAACTATTAAGAGTTCATTTTTAAAATAGCTCCTGGCAGCAAGGCTGGTGTGTTGCAGAATAAGAGACATTTATGACCGTCTTATCTCTAATTTGCATTTGCAAATCCCCTTTTTTGGTCTAAGTTCCACAGCTCAATAGCTTTAGTCCCTTAGTAATAGGAACTGACGAAGCAGTTTTATTAAAATATCTCTCTTTACACAACAGTACTTCAATAGAGGCTGAATTTGTATTCCTCACACCGACTTGTAGTTTGAGTATTGTTACCGAGGCGGATTTATCAAGATTTGTTCCAACATGCCAGTCTAATCCTATTGATATTTGCTTGATGTCTAATTATTTGTTTGTGTGTATTCACATGCAGATGTAGCACACACACAGAAACAGAAAACCGGCTAGGTCCGTAGTCAGCCAGATATTGAACTGAGCTAGTGGGTTGAGTCAAGGGTGGATTAGGAAATCATTTACCAGAGATTTCTGTGTTGTGGCCATCTTACCTTAACAGTACCTTTCTTAGGAGCACCGCCATCACCCATGACCCACTTCCATTTTTTCTGAGCCATTGAAGTATCCATTACATTTTACAGAACAGTATAAATTTCAAAACATGACTCTTCCCTGTTTTTTTCCTATTTTGGATTTGCTTGCCTGTCCCCCAACCTTGGCCTTAATCCAGGACACCCCTGATACCAAACTACATACTCTAGGAGGAGGGGATTTAGAGTTTATCTTTATCTGACAAAAATAGCAGGCAGGATCCCAAATTCAGAGTATGCGATGACAGAAGACATTCTCATGTACATAGTACATGTCCCAGTTTGCTTCAGACTGCATTTAAGACAACCTACAAGGAAACAGCTATGCAGTAAAATCACATACATGAGAAGCAGGTGAAATGGTAACACACATTAAAAAACACAAGTAGAGAGATCATTTGAAGGCCAGAATTAGGTAAGCAGTTTAGCTTTATTTGATCTCTTCTTTCTTTACCTACAATATAACACTGATAGATATACCAGTCAGATTAGATTTCATATCTTACCCATATATTTCTCCTGCCAGGACTCCACTTTGCCTATCTCTTGTGTAAGAATTCCACTTTTATTATTTTTTCCTTCTTTTTATTTTATTTTATTTTATTTTGGTATCATTAATATACACTTAAATGAGCAACATTGTGGTTACTGGATTCCGCCCATTATCAAGTCCCCACCACATTCTCCATTACAGTCACTGTCCATCAGCATAGTAAGATGCTATAGAGTCACTATGTCTTCTCTGTGCTATCCTGCCTTCCCCGTGCCCCCCCCCACACTATGTGCACTAATCGTAATGCCCCTTATTCCCCTTTCCCTTCCCTTCCCACCCACACTCCCCAGTCCCTTTCCCTTTGGTAACTGTTAGTCCCTTCTTGGGTTTGGTGAGTCTGCTGCTGTTTTGTTCCTTCAGTTTTTTCTTTGTTCTTATATTCCACAGATGAATTGCTCTTCTATGGCTAGATGAAATGGGACTTTTTCTAGGGAAACTTCTATGCCTTTTTAGCAAGAAGTTCTCTATCATCTTCACCATTAAAATGCTACCCACCAGTGAGTGATAACACCTCCATGTTTGTCCTGTAAGATTCTGACATGCAAAGAAAAACTAAGAAACACTATGTATTTGTTTTCTTCTTGTTTGATCAACTCATGTAGAGCAGAGAACTTGCCCAATTCATCTCATCATCCCGAATAGAGTAAGATGATTTAAAGAACTATTGGCACCTACAATACACACAGAACACTTTATCTTAATTTCTAATAAATGATGAACAGAGAAACTGCTATTTTTTGCCTCATTGTTATGATTTCCCCATCTTAGTAGACAAGTCTGTATCTATTTACTGTAATGTGTCAAAGGCTTCCATTTTTATTTATATGAGTCATGTGCCTGAAAAATATGTTGAGGAAGAGAACCCACAAAACTTCTGTAGACTTGAAGGTCAATTGCAGCTAAGAAAAGGATTTGGACGATATTATTAGCTACATAATACAATGTGTCTATGTTCCAGTTAATATACATGCATTTATTCCCTATCTGAAAGATTTTTCTTGATAACATAGTAGAGAATAAAAGAAATAATCTACACTAACATAGGCACAGTGATTATTACTTTAATGTTAAACTGGTGACATCTCTTCCGAAAACCACATGGACTGTGGAACAGTTGAAGTATGGGTTTTTAAAGTTAGATGGACTTTTGAATCCCAGTTCCATCTCTTAGTATCTGGTTGACTTTGAAGTTCAGGGAGGTTCAATTGTTGCTGGTTTTCCTTAACTACAATGCAAAGATAATAATTCTCATCTTGCTTTCATTGTGTGAAAATCACATGAAAAAATACAAGGCAAAGTTATGCTATAAAGTAAGTGTTCCATAACTGATTGTTTTGGTGGTTTTAAAATTATTTTTATTAATCTATTTTTCACCTTACCTTTGGACCTTCCCTCCCATATTGACTTTATGTATTGGGTGTCTGGTTTCTGCTTGACTCCAGCCTCTTTGGTTAAGGGAAACAGAGACAGAGGCACTGTTTTATTGTCAAGAGTGAATTATTCCCTTCATTTCTCATGAAGGTCAATATGAGAATGAAGGTCAGCTACTATCACCTTTCTCTCCCCATTATCACTGTTCTCTCTCAGTCTGTTTCTTCCCTGCCCCCCTTCCTTCTTTAATTTTTCTTTCTTTGCTACTGCAGAAATGCAGCCTCTGCACCTGTACATCCTGAGGAATGCCAGCAAGGGCTGGGGGATTTCATTGTGCAGAAAGTGAAAAATATAATTCTAATTGAGATTTTACCAATATTAAATTGAAATGACTGCAATGTTCAAGAACTGTCTGCCAGTTGACAAGCTGTCAAGACAAAATACACATATATATTTGCCCAAATGGCAGCCAAATTATTTTAGAAATATCTTATTTGGAAGCTGCAGATACAGCTCTTTTATATTCTACTGTGAATTTCAGAACTTGATGAGAATTCACTTTTATAGCAATACTACATAAAGAATGGCTTACAAGCTCGTCTTATTTTAACCGTGAATTCCAATATAGCATTGTTGAAGCTGATCTTTCAATGCAAATTCACTTACATTTATCGAGTTCCAAATACTTTAAGCAGATATTTTTAATGCAATTGTATATTGGAGTTACAGGTGTTTAACCCTGATTGAATGTGTCTACACCTCTGTTCGAGTAAAGGAAATTTACTTGAGTTAAATAGAATTTGACATTATTTGGCTGCAAACTTGCCTTCTATTTGTGTCAGTGACAAAAACCCATAGAAGCCTCACTTTCTCTATCTGTGTATCTAGTGCGCATGATAATCCATACTTTAAAAAGTACATTTGGAAAAACTCAATGGTTATATTTAAAGTACTTGGCACAGCATAGAGGTGCTGACCAATGTATCTTAGTTTCTTTACAACCATCCATTTGTGAGTTGCTTCTACCAGTAAGATTCAGTGAAATGGCTGTATGATGTGAATGCCTTAGCCAATGAAAAATTGCTCACAGACCTTATCTTTATCTTTCACAAATGTTCCTATTGGAAGGAGCCCTATTATATTCAAAAGGGCATATTAGTGAAGATGGGAGCTAAGAAGTGAGAAAGCCAAGTAGTTGCCTAAGCTTGTAGGGATTATCAACACTATACGGTGCACAGTTGTATAGCAGATGGAGGTTTTCTTAGTTTTCCCTTGCATTCAGAGACCGCCTAATGATGATCAATATGTATTGAAAAGTTGCTGTACGCCAGAAGCTGTGTTAAATGCTTCTAATATCCACAACAACCTGAAAACAATAGTGCTGATATTAACTTGCCTACTTCTCATTATTTTTCATCAGAAAAATGGGAGGAATAATAGCTAATCCAAATCTCAATATTAAGTGGATGAGGTGGGTCTAAAATCCAGACATCTGGCTCTAAATTCCCTTGGGTTTACCCCATATGCTGTACTAATCTTTGATAATATCTCTGGAGAATTTTGTTTTTAAGAGTGCTAAGATTCTGCTGCATATTTATAATCATTAATATTTTTCCAAATCGGAAGAGGCCTTGAGGTCAGCATCCTTTGTAAATAAAACTGAAGAACTAAGACAGGAGTCGTTAAAGGAAAAGTTTAGGTGCAGCATTACACAATTTTAAATATAGGAATATAAACACTTTAAAAATGTAAGGATAATTTATCACATAGAAATTCCAATAACAATAAAATTAATTAAGAGCCATGTAGTGAGTAACTGAGGCTGAAGTGCTGTTAATTTAGTAAAGAGATAGAGTCTAAAGAGAGTAACTAGGATTGACTCTGGATTTGGTGACGGTGAATGCAAAAGGAGGATGCACTTTCCAACGAAATAAATATCAATCGAAATATCAGAAAAGGGTCAAGAGATGACTTAGTAAAATATATTTTTAAAAGGTACATGTCACTGCTTTCCAGAAGCTTATAACTGGAGAGGTTATGGAAGCTAGGACACAATGTGCAAGTGAACTTACTCTCCTTGAACAATAACTCAGTCAAAAAGGACTATGTTAAAATTTGAAAATAACTTAGTCTTTTTCTTTCTGTGTATTATTCTCATTCTATCTTTTCTTGCCATTAATATTAAGCCTTTTCTTTGTAAATATGTCCTTTTATGATTAACATCCTCAAATCCTAGCTTCGAGTTAGGCCCATCTGAAATTTTCTGATTCTTTTGTGTTCTTCGTTATCTCTAAATCTGGCATAAATTTAAACTTAGAGAAGAGTTGCAAATGAAGTCCAAGTTCTGTTGTTTTCTGAACCATTTGAGAGTGAGTTGCTGACATGACAACACATGATCAACCTTCAGGAAATCCTTCCCACATGAATGTGTTTCTATACATGCATGGTGCTTCCATCAAAATCGGGGAATTAAAATTGATACACCAGCACTAATGACCTCAGCCAAATGTCTTCAATT